CTAAATGTGAAAAATTGAAGTGTTATTTTGAAATAGAAAATAATTACATTTATATATTTAATTAAATACATTAGTTCAGTTTACCAAAGTCATTTGAAATGAAAGAAAAGCGAAGTGGAGAAAAATGAAGGTTTCTTTTTATTGAACATACCGTTGGGTGAAGACTAAGAGTCTGATGAAGATCTTGTGACATCCGCTTCGATGCGCGCCTTTCCCTATAGTCCTGTGCTCTGTTGGACTTGGACGAAATGACCACAGTGTTGGATGCGCGCCTTCTCAACAGTCCTGTGCCCTGTTGGACTTGGAAGAAATGACCACGGTGTTGGATGCGCGTCTTCTCAACAATCCTGTGCTCTCTCTTGGACTTTGGAAAAATAATGGCCCTGCCAGTTAGGAAAGCAGAATGATGGCCGTCCACTGCTTTGGAAATGAAGATCTGGCTTGGTGACTGTGAAAGCTGAGAAGATGTACACTATTTACAATAGAAGTTATAATAATATTAATATAATTAAAATTATGCAACATTACCACTATTTTTGCAAAGAGTAGCATTTATTGATTAATGAATAGTATTGAACGGAAGTGTTTGGACAAACTGATCAATTAAATCTAATTTAATGAAAGTTTTTATTCAATTCTTTAATTATTTTTAGTTTTATTTATTCGACTGGTAGCTCGTTTCATTCTGTGGCTTATTTTCGAATGGGAATCACCTTTAGGTTTGTTGAAATTTTAAAAAATGACAAATCGATGAGTGTTTTCTCTTCGGATAAGGTTTAGGACGGTTATATTTTAAAATAGTTCTTATTTTAGGATAGTATCTTTAAATGATAATACTTTTAATTCATAATTCCCCCACCCGTTGATGAACAAAGATTATTATGATGTATATACATGAGAGTTTATGTTCATTGCTTTTAAATGTTCCCTAACATAGGCGAATTTATAAGGTTGAAAGTCGATTTATTTGTTGATTGTTCTGAAATTTCGTTTTTAAATAGCAAATCTTTTTTTATAAGTTGAATGTCATTTCATGTGTAGCATTATGCTTCTATAAAAGTTCCTTTTTTTTCTAATATGTATATTGAAGATTATAAAATAATATTTTTTAATAAATTTGGATTTTATTTATTTATTATATTGATAAATTAGCAATATTTCAAAGATTTTACATGTATCTCTTCTTTCATACATTTTGTGATTGCTCGAAAGCCAAGTATCAATGCTCTTCACAGTAACTGTCAAGTTAGTATGCTAGTTAAACAGAAATCTTCACATATGTGTTTTTTTCAGGCTTTCTCCTTTTTTATATTGAAATATCTTGACATTTGTTTTTTCATTTAATAAAAATATGCTTCCCTTGTGAACTGTAATGTGTTTGTTTACATCATCACACGTAATCTACATAACACTGTTTTAACATGTACAGACCAAAAGTGTTTTCATTTTAATTATGTTTCTTGAATGTTGTTATCCACAACACTTTTAAGTAATTTCAGTCTGATTATCATTATAATACTAGAATTTCTGTCTGTTTACTTGCAGACATATTTGCTAACTTCACTACACTTATTCACATGCAGTTCTTTTATGTTTCATTATAAGAGATGAGTATTTCATTTTATATGTAAATTTTTATAATTGAATTGCCAACATTTCTTGTTGAACTCTGAAGTTGTTAATAATTTCGAACATTATGTTATTTGCATGTTATAGGCGAACCAATTTGCCTTTCATGTCAAGCAAGTCTTTGTCCGTTCTAAATTTTTAAGCTATGATTATTATTAAGCTTTGTATATCATATATGTATGACAGTGATCATGTAGGAGGTTAAAGTAAACACACTGGAATAATGTTATCGGTTGCATTTTATTTAAAACTTATGTGAATGAAAGCAGTCCACCTTTCATCGTTACGACACGGTAACTGATATTTTTCCTGAAATGAAACACATTCACATAAAAATACAAGAAATTGGATTAGTTGTGAATTAGAAATTTTATGAATGCTGATAATGTAATGCTCTTCACACAATGTAGTTGGGAAAGAAGTTAAAACTTGCATGTTGGAATGCATCTCGTTTTTCATTGTGACTTGTTAATTGAGCATGATCCTGAAAATGAACACCCTTACATAAAAAGAAACCAAATTTTTTTGTTTCAACATACATACGAGTCAAATAACAATAGTTAAAATGTTATTTACATTTTCATTTATTAAATGTCATGGTAAGTATTCAGTATGTTATGTTAGTAATGGTTCCGAAGAGTTAAAACTTTTGTTCCGTTATCTAATAAGACAAATGACATTGATTTTTGAAATGAAAACAGCATTTGACCTCATTTAGCATGTCTTTCACTGTTTGTGACATTATGAATATAAATTTTTATGAGTTTTTCATTGTCACTTTAGGAAAACACAACCGATATTGAATAGGAAGTTATATGTACTTCATAGGTTTTTGTTTTAATCACCATCTTTTCAGTTATTTGTGAATTCACAAACTGGAAATTTGTATTTCAGTTTGTTTACATCTAAGTACAATGTGAAAAGAAGAGTGAACTTGAAGAAACCTTTGTATATAATAAACAAATGAGATATTTATTTACAGAAAATTGATCCACTTTGGAGGTATGTTAATGAAATAAGTTAATACCATCTTCAGAAGCATGAAACTAGGATTTATTTCATAAATTTCACCCAATTTAGGTGGACAACAAAAAATACTTTGGTAACGTAACTGCTACGTATCTGTGATTGTTGCTGCATTCAACAATGGTGAATATTAACTACTGAATTTCAAGATGGGATGTCTTTATTTGAAAGAATATGAGTTTTTCATTGACTTGATTTACAATGAACAGTGTTAAAATTTCAATTTTGTTGTGCTATAATGTTGAAGCATTCCAAAGTAGGTCATTACAAGTGATGAATTTCGAAGGGTATGTGTATTGACATTATGTGATAGGTTAACATACGGTAATGGCATGATTAATTGCAATGAATATGCACATTTTATGTCAGCTTTTAATAACTTATTAACAGGAAATTTAAAACTTGTAACGTTCTAAAATTCTGAAACTCTGCCATAAAATAACATTTTTTAGGAAGCAAAATAAAGAGTTCATAAATCATTAAAATGAACTGTTTAACTTGACATGTTTATATGATGTTTTAAAACTTAGGAAGCAGTTTAAAGAGATAAATTTTCACAAAAACGAGGTTCGATTAGGATCTGAATTCATCATAAAACAGGAGTTTAGTTTTTCCACCTTAATATAATCTGAAACAACAATGTTTTTCCGAATTGATGAGGATTCATAAATGCGAACTAATGTTGAAGTTTTTCGGAAGTGTTTATAAAGAGTAATCTAAATGCGAACAACAATTTTAACGGTTTTCTGCTTTGTTTAAAGAATATTAAAAGCAAAGAACAGTCTTAAAGTTTTTCGGAATTGTTTATAAAGATTAATTTCAAAGGAAATGACAATTTTAACGGTTTTCTGCATTGTTTATAAAGAGTAATTTGAAAGGAAACAACTATTAAAGTTTTTCGGAATTGTTTATAAAGATTAATTTAAAAGGAAATGAAAATTTTAACGGTTTTCTGCATTGTTTAAATAATATTAAAAGCAAATAACAGTATTAAAGTTTTTCGGAATTGTTTATACAGATTAATTTAAATTTCCAACAATATTTAAGTTGTTCTGCATTGTTTATAAAGAATAATCTATTAATGTTTTTCTGAATTGTTTATAAGGAATAACATAACACAATTTGCATAAATATTAATAACAAAATTCCTTCAATGAAATTCGAATTATATATAGGAAAAGCATATATTCTGAAACAAGAAAAAAATTTAACAAAGTCTTTAAATAGAAAGTGGCGTTTTTTTTATGAAAAACAAGTGTCAACGAACGAAAATGCGCGCCTTTTATTTCAAAGTTGCGATTCGTGCCCATAAACCAGATTCCCAACTGTCCCTATCTCACCTCGTCGACGAAGACAGGGGTGAAGTTCCTGTAAAAAATGTCCCTATCAATCCTGTGTCCTCGCGAGCGAAAAAACGACAAACTGACCAGTCCCGTATTCCAATGGGAGGAAGTCCATTTTTTTTTCAAAGTCCGAAGTAGGGAGGGTTGACCACCGCATAAAGCGGGGTGTCCCATGCCGAAGCCCTCGGCATGAGCGGGGTGCGAGTGCACAGCTATTCCTCTTTTACCCACCGGCGAGCTTCTCCCTTCGGTTGGAGGGTTGCCGAAGCGCGCATGCGTGAAGCGTGCGTCTGGAAGTGTTCGGACTGTCCGTAGCCCTATATGAGTAGCAGGTGACTGCTGATGAGAGTGGTCGACCGCGAGACAGAACACACATTTTTATTGGTGTCGTAATCTCGCGAGGCTCCCTATACTGTCACGGCAACCAACGAGATCGGGCTAATTTTCCCTGGCGGCTATCCCGGGGGAATACGGCTCTTTCTTTGTTGACGGCGGCTCTTTCCGGCTATCGGTTTTCGACGTGTCGGAAAAATAATGCTGCCTCCGAGACCGTGGGACACTGCTTATAAGCGACGGCTGTCGCTTCCTGCTACTCGCCTGCGAAAATTATTTATGAAAATAGGCACCGTTGGCTACGACAACGTTTCGTTTCCAAGCCTCTCGGGCCGATTCCAAACTATCTCAGCAACTCTGCGAGCGGCTCGGCCTCCGTGCTGTTGACGCGACGAGCAGAACCGTATTTAAAGGAATTGATTGGTTTTCTGCACCTGTGTCCTGCGCACAGTGCATCTCGATGCCTAAGAAACTCGCCCGGCGGCGTTGACGCCGTCCGGGACGTTGTGAGTGGCGAACCTTCTTCCGAAGGCACTGAGAACTCCGTCTATAACGAGAATCACTGAGGGATCCTCCGTAGTCGAGGCATCCCCCGCGACCAGACGTCGCGTCTCGTGATATTTCGGATTCGAAGTTGAAACTTCGAACGTTCGCAAGAACGCTGAAGTTACCTGGTTGATCCTGCCAGTAGTCATATGCTTGTCTCAAAGATTAAGCCATGCATGTCTAAGTACATGCCGTATTAAGGCGAAACCGCGAATGGCTCATTAAATCAGTTATGGTTCCTTGGATCGTACCTTACTACTTGGATAACTGTGGCAATTCTAGAGCTAATACATGCAGCAGAGCTCCGACCTTCGGGAACGAGCGCTTTTATTAGACCAAAACCAATCGGGCCTCGTGTCCGTACTTTGTGGTGACTCTGTATAACTTTGGGCTGATCGCACGGGCTCGTCCCGGCGACGTATCTTTCAAGTGTCTGCCTTATCAACTGTCGATGGTAGGTTACGCGCCTACCATGGTCGTAACGGGTGACGGGGAATCAGGGTTCGATTCCGGAGAGGGAGCCTGAGAAACGGCTACCACATCCAAGGAAGGCAGCAGGCGCGCAAATTACCCACTCCCAGAACGGGGAGGTAGTGACGAAAAATAACAATACGGGACTCTTTTGAGACCCCGTAATTGGAATGAGTACACTCTAAATCCTTTAACGAGGATCCATTGGAGAGCAAGTCTGGTGCCAGCAGTCGCGGTAATTCCAGCTCCAATAGCGTATATTAAAGTTGTTGCGGTTAAAAAGCTCGTAGTTGGATCTCAGATCCGGCCGGACGGTCCGCCTACCGGTGGTTACTGTTCGTTGCCGATCGTTCAGGCGGTTATTCTTGATGATCTTCACCGGTTGTCTCGGGTGACCGCCAAGTTTACTTTGAAAAAATTAGAGTGCTCAAAGCAGGCGTGACGCCTGAATAATTGTGCATGGAATAATGGAATAGGACCTCGGTTCTATTTTGTTGGTTTTCGGAACACGAGGTAATGATTAAGAGGGACAGACGGGGGCATTCGTATTGCGACGCTAGAGGTGAAATTCTTGGACCGTCGCAAGACGAACTACTGCGAAAGCATTTGCCAAGAATGTTTCCATTAATCAAGAACGAAAGTTAGAGGTTCGAAGGCGATCAGATACCGCCCTAGTTCTAACCATAAACGATGCCAGCCAGCGATCCGGCTGTGTTCCTCAAATGACACGCCGGGCAGCTTCCGGGAAACCAAAGCTTTTGGGTTCCGGGGGAAGTATGGTTGCAAAGCTGAAACTTAAAGGAATTGACGGAAGGGCACCACCAGAAATGGAGCCTGCGGCTTAATTTGACTCAACACGGGAAAACTTACCCGGCCCGGACACAGGAAGGATTGACAGATTAAGAGCTCTTTCTTGATTCTGTGGGTGGTGGTGCATGGCCGTTCTTAGTTGGTGGGGCGACTTGTCTGGTTAATTCCGATAACGAACGAGACTCTAGCCTACTAAATAGACGTTCCCATCATCTTCTGTGGGACGTTCTTCTTAGAGGGACAAGCGGCGTTTAGCCGCACGAGACAGAGCAATAACAGGTCTGGGATGCCCTTAGATGTCCGGGGCCGCACGCGCGCTACATTGAAGGAATCAGCGTGTGCTTTCCCTGTCCGAGAGGACTGGGTAACCCGTTGAACCTCCTTCGTGCTGGGGATTGGAAACTGTAATTGATTCCATGAACGAGGAATTCCCAGTAAGCACGAGTCATCAGCTCGTGTTGATTACGTCCCTGCCCTTTGTCCACACCGCCCGTCGCTACTACCGATTGAATGATTTAGTGAGGTCTTCGGACTGGCGCTCGGATTGGCCTTCGTGGTCGAGCCGGTGTGCCGGAAAGATGACCAAACTTGATCATTTAGAGGAAGTAAAAGTCGTAACAAGGTTTTCGTAGGTGAACCTGCGAAAGGATCATTATCGGTTTATAACTGATACACGAGGGATCTCCTATTTTGGGGATTCCTTGCCGGTGCTGGTTTCCACACGAGTTGGGAACGAAGTGCCAAAAATTCGAATCTATGACGCTTAATAATGGGTGTGTCTATGTTCCCCGGCCCCGACTTGGGCAAGAGGGGGGTTCCCTATTTGGGAGCTAGGCTTGAAGAGATGTGCTGACTAGCACACCGCCCCGTAGCGTCGCTTCCCTCGTGGAAGTGTCTCGAACGCATTCTCGAACGCACTACGACCTTTCGGAAACGATTGGCCAAATAAAAATTATACAACTCTGAGCAGTGGATCACTCGGCTCACGGGTCGATGAAGAACGCAGCCAGCTGCGAGATTTGGTGTGAATTGCAGGACACATTGAGCACTGATTTTTCGAACGCACATTGCGGCCTCGGGTCCTGCCCGGGGCCTCGCCTGTCTGAGGGTCGGATAAGACTTGCAAAGGAAATTCATTTTTCCAATTGGCCGCGTCGGAGTCTATTGGATTTCGTCGGCTCAAGTATTCATAGGATCCTCCCCGGTCGAGAGAGCTCAAGCCCTAGTGCATGCTCGTCGCTCGGAGAAGACGGACAACGTTTCTCCACGAAGACGAGACGGTTTGATGCTAAGAAGACTATTCAGTGGGAAGAGAGCCTACATAGACTTTGTCTATTGAAGC